CTTATGGGCCTATTTTTGTTTATATTATTTCACATTACATGTCCCGCTCCTTTCGCCCTTGTGCCCACTCCAGGTACTTGTTTGGTGCCTTCTGGGTGTCCTGCTTGGTTGTGTCCGGGGGCAGCGTCCTGTGAATTGTTGATCTTTATTCTTTTTATTTGAAAGGACGATTTAAAATAATATGATTTGTGTTAAAAATTTATAATTTACAAAGGAATTTTTTCAAATATGTTATTTTTTATGAAGATCAAAGAGATTTAAAGAACATGATTTAAATAAATAGAAATTATTACTGAAATATGTTTGTTTAAATGACATTCATGGTAGTACCACGGAAAGTGTCTGTTGCCACCTTAACTAGAGTTTGTTGTACCCAATGGAACATTTCTTATATCACCTGGGGCACATAACTCTTGCATCACTCCATGTTTAGCATTTTTAAAGATTCATTAGACTTTGTTACAATATCTTACGGTATAATAAAATAAATTACACATGGTTATCGGGATGATAGAGGATATTTCCCACCTTTGATCTGGTATATTACCAGTTCTCAGATTGACAATATCTTCTATCAACCCGACAGCCATTTGTTTTTTTATAAAACATTGAATCCGCTGATAATAAATAAATTAATGCTGATTAAGTACACCAGTATCTGTCATAAGCAGATATAATTATATCAAACAATTCGGTTACAGAGACAAAAGATTACATCAATATTTAGCATCTTAAATTGCTTCGTAGTATACTGTTTTAAAGCAGGTTAATTAGAAAAGCAAACACTGGTATATAATATGAAGTGACTTTACATTGTTAAATCAATTACTGAATTCTATTGGAAAAGATAAACAAGTGGACGAGTGGCATTCAATGAACTCATCCCGAAACACAATATAGAAACAAAGGACCACCGGCAGAACCGCGGCAGGATACAATGGCATACCACGGACGGGTTGTTATAATTTAAAGTTGAAAATAAGTAATCATAGAAATCGAAATGAAAATAATTGATATAAAGGTCAACAAAATGACAATAACGTAGTTGTAGGGACCAGAGGGCCGGGCAGAATTGAATTTAAAAAAAAACTAGGGAAAAAGGACTTAAACTTACCAAAAACAAAGAGGGAAACAAAAGTGTCATCACAATTAGCAATATACAAGTAATACATCTTAGGAACATAGGCGGCGGGTTAAACCGCTTAATGGTGCACCAAATCTCACTTTTAGAACCAACATGTTCCTGTAGTATAAATAACATGAGTCCCCATCAAGCAAATTCTAACAATTATCATGGTAACTATAGTAACAAAATTCTCACTTTTAAGAAAGAGGCTTTGAATAAGATGATCACCATTATTAAGAAACAGACTCTTTTTGTTTATAAGAGAAGACATGTAAAGGCAAGGCTTAAGGTGAGCATTTTGAATGTAAAAAGCATTTATGCTTAATACCTAGAGACCCCTCCGACCAAGAGTCTCAATATTCATATAGTTATCACTTTATTATGTAAATGACCACTATTGTTTTTGACGACGTCGATGCACAAAATAGAGAAAATAAGAATCCCTAAAGAAGGTCTAACACAACACAATTGAAAATGTTGCAGGCTCGGTTTGATTGAGCCTGTTCATGGACAGTACTGTAAAGTGCAAACTACCGTCCACGCCCCTAGCACCGGCTTAAGCAGAATTCAACATTTAAACATGAATGGTGAAATTTAGAATTAAGAAACATCCACAGATGTGTTCATATGGCGGTTATCATGGAACTTTCAACGTGACACTTCCGTGCCATTCCATTAAAAGCGGCGTATGGTCCCCAAGTAATAGAAAAGCGTGTGCCCTAAACGAGAAAACAATGGGCGGAACTAAATAAAATGGAATTTTGAAAGGGGATCAGAGGTTATGAAGCTTGCATATCACAAAAGTCAATGGCCCAGTGACCTTCATTGTAAAAGAACAATTCAACCAATAGCCTATAATATTGATAAAATTATATCCCTTATCGGGTAAAGGCCCTCTTATTTTGGCGAAAATGCATTTTTAAAGGTCACATCGACATTAAGATTCCTGTTCAAGTACTTGATAACCATTTAAGATTCACTCATAATAAGAAAAGTCACCCGTATATTTTCTTCGATTGTGTAAGCGACACAGAACATGCCTGTATAATATTATATATTTGTGTTTTTTTAGATACTTGTTTAATGGAATTGAGAAGTGGAACTAAATAAACACATGGACATACTATATTTTCTGGCATGTGCATTGAAGTTGGGGCGTGGACGGAGGGCTTAACTATCCAGAAATGTATTCGGTTAAGACACTTACTCAGATATATTTTATGTTCAGAATATAGGAATGAAAAATAAAGAGTAGCTCATATTGAATTAATTCTTAGTTGTTCTATAGAAAAGCAGACACAGTTCCTAGGAAAGTGAAAGATTCCTGGTCAAGTTTGATAATTAGACTTATAGGTCTTCCGTACATCCATTTGTACGTCCGTATGGATCCCGTATTAACTCAAGAAGTTTTCAAAACATTTTTAAAAAACTTATACGATATAGAAATATGGAAAAAAGGATGTAGATTTTTTTCCTAAGTGCAAAATCTGGTTGTTATTACAAGAAACAGACTAAAATATAGCTGAAATATCAATATATTGTGTTTACTTTAAAAGTGCTGTGTTTGCTTTTATGAAAATTGAATAGGATAGCTGGATTGGATAGATGGATTGATGGATGGATGGCAGGACGGACATCCATCGATCGGTCGGTCGGTCGGTAGGTAGGTCGGTAGTCGGTCGGTCGGTCGGTCGGTAGGTAGGTCAGTAGGTAGGTAGGTCGGTAGGTCGGTCGGTAGGTAGGTAGGTAGGTAGGTAGGTAGGTAGGTAGGTAGGTAGGTAGGTAGGTAGGTAGGTAGGTAGGTAGGTAGGTAGGTAGGTAGGTAGGTAGGTAGGTAGGTAGGTAGGTAGGTAGGTAGGTAGGTAGGTAGGTAGGTAGGTAGGTAGGTAGGTAGGTAGGTAGGTAGGTCGGTCGGTCGGTCGGTCGGTCAGAAGGATTAATTTTCAAACAATTTTTAAAAAAGACGCAAAGGACTGTAGATGCTAATAAAGAATTTGGTAAATAGCCATCCTTTGCAAAGCTTACACAGAATAATTAAACATATTTAAACATGTAAGTATTGTTGCGATAAGTTAAAAATAAACACAAATTGAACATAAACAGTTACTGTGTTACCAGTATGCATTTACATTACACAAGAACCCATAATCTATATTCATTTACAAAAAAAAATAAAAAAACAACAACAACATAGATTTGTATATTAGAATTAACTTACCTAAGCCTATATATCTAAAACACGCTATGCAGAAATCGATGAAGGTGATGTCAATGTTTTGATGTTTTCCGGCTTGAATTGCGAACTCTTCCGACTTTAACGGGTGATTCAAATAAGAAAGGGATGTCAGAAACATACTTCGTTTATTGCACAGTTCTTGTCTAATATTAGAGAGTCCATTTAAATCTAGTGAAAAGCAGGCTGGAGTGTCTGGAACATAATAAATAAAAAGTTATGTTTTTGTTTAGTTTGCATGGTAAAAAATAATAATGTCATATTCCATTACATTTTCAATTTAATGAATATTTTTATACTGTTTAATAGGTTTCGACCAGGAAACAATTGAATGGATCATTTTGTATCTATTTAGGTAGCTTATTAAACTGTAGTAAAGTTTTTCAAGTCTTGGATTCAGAGCTGCGTGGTATCCTATCAAATGTAAACAAACACCGCAAGCTTAGAACAAAAACATGTTTTTGTTAATTCCTCTTTTTGTTGGAAATGATTGAAATCCAGATATATATATATATATATATATATATATATATATATATATATATATATATATATATATATATATATATATATATATATATATATATATATATATATATATATATTATATATATTTAACACTTTCAACAGTATTCCGCTTCATTCGGTGTATGATGCTTGCACAAATATTTTTGTATCATTTCCAACAAAAAGAGAAATACACACACACAAAAATAATTCTTGCGTTCCAAGATGGCGGCGTTTGTTTTTATTTGGTAGGATTCGACGCAGTTGTGATTGCAAGCTCTGATTTTCGTCTTTATATGTTAATATTAACTAAATTTAAAAGGGCGACATAAACATGTCACAGTGATCAGTTTGTCGTTTTCCGCGTTTTCGTGATTTCGTTATTACATCTGGCGCCCCGCGGACCAGAATGCGAAAGCACGAAATATAGACAAAGTTATCGTGGGTTTATTGCGACAAAGTGGTCACTTAGTCATATTTGCGTGTTTTTCTCTTGCGCTCTGCGGACCGAAAATAGGACCTGGCACAAATCAACCTCCATAATGAATTGCAATGTAAAGAAATAATTCACTGGGTTCAATACATTGATATGATCTATCAAAAAATTATTTACATATCCTATTTGTACTGTTTAAAATCATTTCAAATGTGAAATTTCAAAGTCTACAATTTTGTAGCCTTTTTAATTAAGCCACTATATGACCATGCTCGGTATTGGCAAATTAGATCATTACTATGTCAGTCGTCTGATATTTATACAAGGAGTCTGAATCCTAATAGGTCACCTATAACCTTTTTTATTTTTCCTCAGCAAAGGAGTAAGTAAATAAAGACAAAACATCAAGATCACCTAAAATAGAAAAAAGTTCCTACACAAAGAATTCCAAACGGGAAAATTAAAAATGTTGCAGTCTCAGTTTTATTAGGCACAGTAGTGGTAGATTTAAGTCTTTTTTGTAGATTATCTTCGAAATCAATAATTCTAGATACTGTTTCAAAGAAATACATCCGCTGAATAAAATTCAAAATTTAACAAGGCATACAGTGCATAAAGTTTTATTACGGCAAGAAATGAAAATTAAAACTAGAGCAGTAAATTTTCTTTAACTTTGCATTATGAAAGAAAATTATTATTCAATTTGACACAGCTATGATTCGTTTAGGACTTTCTTGTCTGCCTTATGCTCTTTGTGTCAAATTTAACAGCAGATAATTAAAAACTGTAGCAAGCAACACCTCGTTTGGTTTGAAATTAAATCAATATTTGTTTCATTATTCCCTGTCGGGGTGCAAACCTTTCCGTTTATTCTATATGACATGGTTTTACTTTATTTTGTATATGCTGTAACGAAATGATAGAAATTTAGTTCCAGTTATGCCAAATTATTTTACGAAAAATACAGTCTGTTTACTCATTGAAACGTTGTAAACTGTTCGTCGGACATAAATTGTCTTAAAGTTTGTAAAATTACCGAAAATGAAATAAAAATAATGATTGCAAATTAAATAAGTTTTTTTGCACGAGATGCTTTTAATTCACATTTATGTGCAGATTTAGTTATAAGTAAGATATTGACCGCTTAGTTGTCGTGACTTGGTTGATTTATAATTTTATTTAGTCATTCAATGTGAAAGGAAAGGATCTGCTCTTGTTTAAATCTTTAACGAAAGTTTATAAAGACGAATTGAATCTAAGAGTCATTGGATTCTGTCGGCAAACATTCAAATGGCACAGCCATAATCCTGTTTGTAATTCTTGCCATATCTGTAACAGTTGTTTTATCTTTTAATAAATATACAAATATTTAATTCCTAAAGTTATTAGATAAAAAATGTTTCCTCGTATAATTCCTATTTCATTTACGCAGATGCTGTTAGTATTTCCTAGAACATTTTAATCTCTATAACTTCATGAATGTATATGATTAATTAATCTGTAAATGATGTTAACAATTGTTTATTGTTAGAAATGTTCAATCATTTAGTTACGTGTAGGTCCACCGTTGCCGGGTGTTGTAAAAATAAATATATGTATATCCTCATTATGTATGTACATAACACAATGTCACTGTAATAAAATCTACTTATCTTATCCTATCTTATCTTATGTTATCCTATCTTATCAAATCTTTATACATTGTAGTTTAGAATAATCCTCTCAACTCGTTCAATTCACATTTCTTCAAGCCGCAATGTGATTTTAGTGTTTTGTTGAACTTTATTCATGTATGATTGATTAATATAAGAACAATTGAGTTGAAAAAGAATTTCATGAATATCTTTCTGTTATTTATCTCCTTGAAAATGTATAATTACTTATGTCAAACTATGGTACAAACTCTTTAGACACATAAACATCAAACTTTGTGTTACCAAACAAATTCTTTGCTAAATTGTTTTCAAGTCAAATCAAATTAAGAAAACAAAACCCGGTCACTTAAAGATATACTATGCTCATCTTTGAGTAATATAATTATTTTAATCAAAGAAATTTGTTAAAACGTCTTTAATCCTTACTGATTATGGCTTATTTGAATAAAAAAAGGAATTAACAATGTATTGGAGGCAAAATATCCTATTACAGGGCAATTAGAGTTGGTCTTTTCTTAAAAAACTGCCAGTTTTTTTAACGAGACTATATATTTATATTGTGACCATCTATAGTGTGTAGAGTTTTAAACATGACATATCTATTTTGCGTGAAGTCAAAATATGTTTATTTTATATTTAAAAAGAGAATGTGTAGCAATTACCAATAATTCCTGATATCAAATTTGAGCATAGTATATCTTTAATTATATTTTCATTTGCCTCAATGACAGCACATTGTAGCGTTAAAGTACGTATATTTCATTATAGTGTGGTTATCTCAGTTGAAAAGCATCTATGAACAAACTATTCATAGTGATGGACTAATGCACTAGGCAAAATAGAAAAAAGTCGTATCTGTCCGTAATTTAAACAATTATTTGTGCCAAACATGTATGTATGAAATATTATTAACTGTATTTAAACCTGTAATACATCTAAGGAAAGTTACTCTCACTTTTAGATCACCTAACAAAAAGTGACTAAAGTTTAGTTTTTGTGAAAATAAGTTGTTCATTGTCATTTATATGTTGTGATTTTTTTCTATATCTTTAAACCAGTTTTGACCGCAGTTAACATTTATATCACAACAATGATACTTAGACGGCACTTTGAAAATATAGAAACAATTGTATTATTGTCATTAAAGACTTCCATAATAAAATCGTCTACTATAACGTTAAAGTGTTATGCCGACGTCCACTACAGTTCCAATAGTCTGGCTTAATATGATAATCCTTAATGATAAAGGTTAAATGAAAGAAAACTTCAACACTATGTAATAACGCAACATTCATGACAATAACAAAAACAATTGTAAAAAAGAATAATGAAGAACGTGGTTACTGTCCGTTTCGTTCCAAAGTACCAGAGCTATATTTCGAAACTGAACGGACAGCATTAAAGGATTAGATAAGCTAAATTCAAAAGCGTAAAACTGATTAAAATTAGTTAATAAAAACGCACAAACAGAACAGACACAAAAGAAAATTTGATTAATGACTAAAGGAAATTAAATTAAACTAAAGTATTAAAACAAATATCAGCTTGAAAGCTAGCACTCAATGCACTCTGGTTTGAATTAGGATACAAATCGTTTATATAATACTGCAAGTTGCTTTTAAAAAGAATAAGTAATATTCAATTTACCCTCAGCAGTTACAATTGCTCGGAATTTTATCTTTGGTGTCGACATCGTTGTTTTTGGCATTGCTGATAAGAACAACAAGTTTTTATCTGTTTCTAGTACAAATACCCTATCGTTGTACCGCGCGTCAATGATAAATCCTTTGTTACCATCTTTCGATGTTTTAACAATGAGTTCACACTGCGTAAAAATAAAATATATAACGTAGCAATTCATAAACAAAATAACTTGACTAACTTACCAGTTAATTATCATTAAGAACATATACAAACATCACGGCATAAAGTAATGAAATTCATCTAAGGTGAACTAACAAATCAAATTTTCATTTATAGTAGGATTTGAGAACCTTTAAAACTCCAAAAAAGACATTTGGCTACATAACAGCAGAGTTTTGCAAGAACAACACCGTGTTAACGTGAAGTCAGTAACATTACAACAAATTGTAATTTAAACATTTCCCCTTATCAAATTTACAACAAATTAATTGTATTTTAATGTTTACTTATAGAACAAAATTGACTTCAAGGTGATACAAGCTCAAAATTAGTTAAGGAGCCTCATTACAAGATATGTGTCAGGCCAGCATTAATTCAAAGACGTAAATCTTACAAATTATAAAATGATAAATTTACCAACTTACATTGGAACTGTTATAGAACTTAAGGTTTCAGTGATAAAAAATCGAATGCATACCTCAGATAGTGAAACATTTGTGAAAACAAATTTGGCAAACCGTCCTGGTACGAAATTAACAATCCATAGTATGTCATAGTCTAACATTGCCGTTAGAGGGTAACTGAGAGATGTTATTATAGAGGCTTTATCTATGTACTGTACGCTTCGAAAAAACGACTCTTTTTGGTAAGCCGTCGGAAAGGATACCGTAAATACTGTGTTAACAAGAAAACATGTTGTTGATAGCAAGAAGATAATACACTTGTTAAAATGATAAAAAAGAACGAAACAAATTCAAAATCCTGGTATGATTTCCACATACAGAACCGCATTCAACTGCAAAATTGCATGAGGCACAAATGTTAAAATGATGTCATCAATTCACTTAAAATATGTTCAAATCTTTATACTTTAAGTGAATGCAATATAGAGCGAATTATAAACCAGAGTTTTTGAGCACTCAATCACGAGGTTATTTGTCATACTCGTGGGTTGTAAGACCTTGCGTACAACCATGCTGAGTGTTTTTATATATTTTCTTTTTAGAATTATTTCTAGCTTAAAATGTTCTTATCGTGATGATATGCAACATCCGAAATCCTTATACAAACTTGTTATGCCTCGACTTATGTAGTTGGAAACGTAAATGAACCGTTGAAAATTAGCAATGCAAATTCAGAAATTTGTTTTTATTCAAATTCTTCCATGAATTACTAAAGTTTATTTCAATTTTTCAATTCTTAAGTAAACTTGTAGTGCGCTATTTCAAGTACAAGCATTATTTCCCCCTAAAATATCCAGTTAACGCACCCTTATTGAGTAAGCTATTCATCCTAAACACATTTCAAAAGAAAAAAATCCTCATATCTTTTGTATGGTTTCAGCCGAGTAGAAATGCAACTTTACATAATCAACGAATGCGATTTAATATATCAGAAAAATATATTTATACTATTGTCGCATCCGATGACATATATACAATTTAATTTATTTGGCCATTTATATCCGTATATTGCCTGTCCTAAGCAATCAGAATAGAGAATTTAATACCAAAAAATCCTCTAAAGGAGACAGCCTACAGGGAGACCCAATCCGCAATGCTTTTGTTGGGTTATCTAAACATAAGAAGGCTGTAAGATAAGTTAGCAGACTGGTTAATGGGGAAGTAGTAGTAACGACGTAGTACCGTATCAAATTAATTTACGTTCAAACAAATAAAGGTCTTTTTATGACTCAGTACAAAAAGAAAATATAAATCAATCAGACATGTTCCGTATTTATGTAGTTTAAGCACAATGCATCAAGGTACCCCGCAGCACGACGTAATATAACACGCCAAGATAATGTCATATCATTAAAGCTGCGCATACATTTCGATGTAGCCAAAAGTTCTGCTTTGAGATCCACTTTTAGAAGGTTTACTTAGGAAATATAGCAACAATGAGCTGGAACAGATTTAAATCAAAATCGTTGTCCTTTTAGTTGACGCTTTAGTAATGGAAACACTCGGTGCTTGATCATAAAGAGAGTGAACTGGAGATTCAAATTCTAGAACACTGATCTCAAACATTGCTGAATTGGCTCATTGAGCGGGCGTGTTGACCTAGTGTAAAATGACACTTAAGGAATATTTAAGAAATATTTATTTCTTTTTTAAGTATGCAGCTTCATAACGATGAATTATTAGAAAAATCCTATTTAAAAAGGGAATTATAGCCAGAGCCATGGCCCTACGTTGAACTTAAATACTATCTTAATATTCAATGCTTGAAACCAGTGAGTTTCTTCCTGCGTGAGTATATAATATTTGGAATACAATTACACAAACTTTCACTTTTTTAACGAGCGTCGTATTTCTACATCAAACGTTATGACAACTGCTGATAAAAACTTTTTCATGGCCATTTCGCATCTTTCATTTCTGATTGACGTCAAATTTGGATATAATGTCACTAAAAGATGATGAAACAAGTTGGTGGAATATATTGAAAAAAAAAACAACAGATAATAAATCATGAATAAATTAGAAGTACAAATTAGCTTATACGTTTTTTGATCTGCTGCACCGTGTGCATGTTACTATGGGTCTATAATATCACAGAGAACATGCGTTTAGGACAATAATTTGATAAACAGATGCTCAAATTGTAGAAACAATTTTATTATTGCTGTACACATGCAACTATTATAAATAAATGGAATATGAAGATGCAAGACCCTTAGTCATGTTCACTTTTGAACAACGTCGTACTTCCCATACCCAAATTCATACTTGACCTAGAACAAAAACAACCTTTCTTACAAATGTCTGGGATATTTGGATAAAAAAACAGCATGAGGGTTGTTCAAATATGAATACAGTTGAGTCAATTTTCAGTAGTGCTTAACAAAATGTGCCAAAAAATTATCTTAATCCTTCAAAATACACAGCACAATGTTGTATACAAAGGTTTAGTATTAAAGTCGAATTTTAAATGCGGTCTTATTATCGTTTCGATGTATAATGTTCAGACACTGGAAAATAGCCGAACCGAGATTATTTCCCGTTTGCTATTATCTTCCAACAAGGTGTTTTGTGAGCATCGGAAATAGGAACAAGTCACAATGGGCAAGATATGTCGAATAAGGAGGAAAGGAGACAACCTTTTCCTCTTTTAGATTTGTTCGTAAATAGTCGCTTTGTTTGACGAAGCATTGTCATGTAACAACTTGGCAAAACGGAGACCAGTTGCTGGTCGACGGGGTTTTTTTAATTTATAAAGGACCTTGTCTTGCCTTAGTAAAACTTTGCATTTACAGAATTACCCTTTGGTACGGCAATTAGCAAAGCAAAACCTTGATTGGTAAAGAAAATTACACACCTTGCCCGCTCATGGTGCGTTTTGCTTCGCAAGGTCTTTGACTTCCTTTGGGTACCCATATTTTGTTACGTATCTTTTTTCTTGGGCTCATAAAAGTGAACCCATATCTCATCGCCAGTGATGATAATTGCGAAAGATCGGTTGTTGTATGAGGGAAGTGTTTCAACAATTGTTTGGAGATTCTTACCCGAGCAAGTTTTTTTTTCTCTTTTGTAAGGAGATGCAGTATCCATCTGGCACATTTCCTTCTTATTTTAAATCACACCGGAGAATTGTTTTAGCGGCTCCCACAGAGAAACCAACACATAAAGATATATGTTAAGTCTTATTAGTAAATTTTACATCAGTAGCAATTAAATTCTTTACTATCTCAACAGGTTTTGGCGAATTAGCAGTTATAGGACTGTGTGCATAGGGTTCATATTTTACTGAATCCAGACAACTTTTAAATTTCTGACATCACCGTGTTACAGAAAAAAAAGAAAGTTCATTGATCCCATGAACACGACATATTTCATTTAATATGTCTTTCGTCCGTATACCAAGAATACAGCGGTTCTTAAATAATATTGGATTCCAAGTCATGTAGGTATTCGAGGAAATAAAAAAGTAGATGCTTTAGCTAAACAATCATTAAATTTTCAATAAACGGACTTATTATTACCTGCTTGTGACTTTAGACCGGCTATAAATAAACTCGTATCATCTGAATGGAAAGCAAATTGGGACAATGCTGTTTTTAATAAACTTTACGATATTAACCAATCTCTTAATGTGTCATCATCTCTATCTAGAGTTGGACACACTAAAATTACCCACTCTTATCTTCTCATAAATGACAATGCCTCTTTCTGTGTAGGTTGTAATGAAAATTTTACTGTCAAGCATTTTCTTCATTTGAATGTCATGATTTTTCACAAGTCCGTAATAGATTGTATTCTGTAAATTCACTCAAAGAACTCTTTAATATACATCCATCAAAAACATCATTGATTATTTGAAAAAGATAAATTTGTATTCTAGGATCTAATTGGCTCATTTCATTGTCATTTAACATTTTAAGCCTATTATAGCATTCGGCACGATATGGCCAGTTATGTGTTGAAGTTCCGTAAAAATCCAAACAAACAATCAGCGGTTCTTGATATAGGACCGTATTTGATCAATGAAAGGAGACCTTTTCAAATATCTTGTAGAGTAGATAGCGTAAATCGAGCAATTGTTAAAGATAGACTGAACTGATGGAAACATGTATTTTATCAATTGAGAGCTTACACAACCATCAATGCGATACATATACATTGTTCGTGCAAACATGGTCTAAAGCGAGATATTGTCCTAGTTGCATCCATATTTGAACAACCGTCTTTGCCTCTAAAGAGTTTAACTTTCTCCATATTGGGGCTGTATGACCTAGTTTTTGCCCCAAGTAAACCATATAATTTGACATAGAAAACATCAAAACAACATTTCTGATCCATTTCCAGGATATTTGGATCAAACAGTAAACTCTAAAGTGTTGCTTTCATTTTCGGGCTGTGTGACCTAATTTTTGAACCCAAGTGACTAACAATCGAACTTAACCTAGAAATAATCAAACTAACCTTTCTGACCGAGTTATTTATCTTTTTTATTCAATTTATCATAGTCAATTTATATACAACATGCTTAAAGAAAAATAATATTGATAATCTCTTTTACAAACATTTTGTTTGAAGCCTTGTTCGAAAAATAACTGAAAGTGATCTAAAATATATTCATAAATCACCATACGAAAATCCAATACACGCACATAAGAAGTGATACTGCAAAAGACATATCAAACTTTTATATTGCACAGTTGAAAAATTGATATATTATTTCATGAAGGTAATAATGACATACCATTGTTTTGTAGCTTGACAAACCACTGACTGCCTTTTGTAATCTTAGTACTTTTCCATATTCCAAGTTCACTACCCATGTAGTGATAACAAAGTCTCTCTTCATTGATACTGGCAACACTACAACCTTTTGTAGATTTACAAAGATCTTTACATTCCTCAACACTTGTTTTACTAATGAAAGATGAGTTTCCGGATCGCAATTCTTGATCAAGGGGTAGCATTTCAGATGAACTGCTGCTAGTTTGGTCAATGATACCTGTTTACAAAACAGAGCAGTTCTCAGTAATATACATTTATCATAAAGATACCAAAACCAAATGTAAAAGTAACTTAGTAAATAGCAACAAGAAAAGTGAAAAAGTGGCCATCTTTGTAAACAAATTTTAGCTTCATTCAAAATGTTTACAGTCATTATTGAATTAGTCAAAAGAAAATGATCCATTAAACTTTATACTTACTTGTCAATTTACAACCGTAAAACATAAAACTTAAGCATCGTTGTTTATGTGTTGGATTTGCAAGTATTTCATTGAATTTTACGTATCTGGCTTTGATTGGACTAGGAAAAGTAAATGTCTGTTCTGTTGTATTTAAACTTCGGGGATAAATCCGAAATTCCTGAAAATAATGAATTTCAGATACTTGATGAATTACAGTTACTTCCACACCTTTATTTCATTCTTATAAGCAAAAATAGAGCAGATATTATCTACTTTGGAGAAATTGTTTATAATAAAGCACAAAATCTTATTGATTTATTATCTCATGATATTTATAGATTATCGAAACATTGTAGCTTATTATAAATGATATGTGAATATTGTATGTCATATTTATGTAAGTTTCATTTAAGTTCACTTCTAACCCCAATCGCATGGTATGATATTTTTTCATAATTTTAGAGGTAATTTCACACTCCCCTGTTTTGACGAATTCTCAATAAATCCAACGCATATAACCTGTTATTTTGCCGATTAAGTTTCACGTTAAAGTTTAAGACACGCACGATCAATAAATATGCATTCATAGATTGATTTGTTCATACGGTAGTGATCACAAAATGTTGATAATCAATAAAATGTGATAATACGGACTTTAATGAATCGTTTAACATCGGCTTATGTCGGATGGTATCGGAATAACCGGGAACTACTCACGCTTTCTTTTGGCAGTTTATTAGACCTATATTTAGTATATTTTTGTCATGTAAGAGGAAATTTTCCACTATGACGTCATTATTTGATAAGATTTCAATATGTCGTGTTGAATGCACATTCATTAGAGTCAACAACCCATCAGTTAATACATAGCTATACACTTATTGATAGAAAGATAGACAGAAATTTGGGATAAAGTGTATAGACAAGACGCGACAAAATATCCCAATGTCCCTATTATAACAGGAAATGAGGTGGAAGACACAAGTGACCGTAATGGTATTCCTTAAATTCATCACCGAGTATTGCTATTGTTATTTTACTGATGTAAAAACAAACTGTCGACAAGATGGTAAATACCCTTAACTAAGATAAAATAAAATGATTACCATGATTGTCAAACAACTTGAATAATTACCATATAGTAAAACCTTATGGTAACGTTACATTGTAAAAAAAAACTAAACAATCTCTATTTTATATTTTTATTGCTAACATTCCCCTTCGTCGATTTTTTGTGGTTCTAATGGTCTGTTTTGTGTGCTGTGATCAGGAGACAATGCAGATGAATAACAAGAAAATCATTGATGCAAAGCAAAGGCGACGCCAAAAAAAATTGATCAAGTTTTGCTTTTAAAAACTTAACAAAAGATGTGTACTTTATAGCAGTACTATTACATGTGACCTGGAGGCTAGGCCCAGTTAAAGTTAAAACTTAAACCAATAAGAATAGAATCCTGTCTTGCCAAGATGCAAAGACAATTTATAGTTAATTAACCAATCTTTTAAGACTCATGCCATAAGAGAAATTTCTTCAGATTTATTTTACAAGATACAAGGATACCTGAGTCATCAGCATATAATAAAAGCTTATTGCTTAGGGTTGCAGACATGTCATTGACACATATTAGCCATAAAAGAGGACATAAAGTGAACCTCATGGGGACACCATAGGTACTCGGAGCAGTAGTAGAATGAGTAGCAGCCACATCCACCTGCTGTTGTCTATCAGAGATAAGACTTGAACCATGTAAGAATGTAATTATCCGTGGCAGATGTACCGTGGTCGGGTACCAGCGGTAATGGATGTTTGTGTTTGTCCACTCGAGGAATATTGATATATAAACATAAAATAAGTGCAAAGTGTTACTTAAAATGTGTCTTAAGGATATAAAGATATAAGTTTTTGTATGAGGATATACTTTGGTAACTTTAATTTCTATAAAAAAACATTTGTGAACTATTAAAAATATTGGTACATTATGTCTTTATAAATAGCCAAATTTATCATTTCGCAAAAACGAGCTAGCTGCTTTATCATTTCGCACAGAAATAGTGCATTATTGAACTGAGGTAACTGAAAAAAATCATACTGCACGAAAAGTCATGAAATATTTTCTATTGCTAAATGGGAACCAGGCAGATATTTGAAAACCACAGTGTCTAACCGTTCAATATTGAAATATATAGAAATTTGTTAAAATGTCAAATATAAAAGAAAACTAGAACTGTGTCCAAGGACACGAATGCCCCCACTGACAACATATATATGGTATATAGTGAAAAAAATCAACAAATTCTGTTAAATTTGGTTGCCGCAAAAATTTCTTCCTTTACTAACATCTACACATTAAGGTTGTTCATCCCTGGAAGTTTAAGCAAAATCTACCATCCAGTTTAAGAGGAGTTGCGTTCACAAAATTTCTATATGGTATATAGTGAAAAAATCAACAAAGGGCCATAATTCTTTTAAATTTGGTCGCAGCAAAAATTTCTTCCTTTACTACCATTTACACATTAAGGTTGTTCATCCCTGAAAGTTTAAGCAAAATCTGCCATCCGGTTTAAGAAGAGAATGCGTTCACAAAATTTCTAAATGGTATATAGTGAAAAAATCAACAAAGGGCCATAATTCTGTTAAATTTGGTCGCAGCAAAAATTCCTTCCTTTACTACCATCTACATATTTAAGGTTGTTCATCCCTGGAAGTTTAAGCAAAATCTGCCATCCGATTTAAGAGGAGTTGCGTTCACAAAATTTCTACATAGTATATAGTGAAAAAATCAACAAAGGGCCACAATTATGTTAAATTTGGTCGCAGCAAAAGTTCCTTCTTTTACTACCATCTACACATTAAGGTTGTTCATCCCTGGAAGTTTAAGCAAAATCTACCATCCGGTTTAAGAGGAGTTGCGTTCACAAGATTTCGGGACGTACGGACAGACGGACGGATGGACGGATGGACGGACGGACAGACGTACGGCGTGACGGACGGACGGACACTCAGACGGACAAGTGCAACGCTATATGCTCCCACTCTGTGGGGGCATAAAAATTACTCTTGTTCTGGTGAAAATGATGAAATGAACGATGAGAAAAAAAGTAAAAGAGAAGTATGTAGTAGTGTAAGTAGCACATTAGATACTAGTACTGGTATGTTTACAATAGGAGAAAAAAACAGAAAAAGAAGAAAGGTAAACAAGATATTGATGATGGCACATTAATACAAGAAACTGATACACAACAACTAAACAAAAGTAACAAACAGTTAAAAGATATAAACTTGAAGCTTTCAAAAGTGTACACAAAAGATGATGGTAGCTTAAGAGATATGATAAAAAAAACATGTTCATCCAAATGAAAGAAGAAATGCTATCATCTGTTTGTAAAAGAATCGACATTCTTGAAGGAAAGTTATTTCAAAAGGAAACTGAAAATGAAGTCTTAAAACAAGAGGTTAAAGAGCTTGAAAAAGCACTAGAAAACCAAAAAAACGAAAATGAAAAACTACTCGAAGAAATATATATAAACGAAAGGCAAACAAAAGGAAAAATAAATGATCTCGAACAATATAGTCGAATAAACAACCTCCGAATTGACGGGATTAAAGAAACAATTAATGAAGACCAGCAACAAACGGAGATAAAGGTTTTGAATACCTTAAATTCTTACATGCCTAAATTAAAACTAGAAATAGACGATATAGAAGTCGGTCGACGCTTAGGCAAACAAGATGACAAAAAGCCTAGACAAATAATTTTTCAATTCTGCTCACGGGGCACAAAAGTAAAGATACTCAAAAATCGGAAACTATTAAAAGGATTAGGAATTTACGTTAATAAAGACCTCACTCGTTTAAATCAACACGTTTTTACATGTATTAGGAAAAACTGTCGAATGAAGTGGAAGGTGTGTGGACTAGAAATGGTAACATTTTCTACAAAAATAAAATGGGATCAGTTCACCGAGTTCATTCTGATGAATACCAGACATGGATCGATCTACCTTGGTCGACAGTAACACCAGACCAATTTAAACGTCCAGCAACCCACAATGCTTGGTTAGCCCCCGTGAAATTAAAAAGTAGTTATATGATCAATGATCAGCATATGTAATACAAACAATTAACAGAGAAGTTATCTAACCGGTTTTTTATATAAAAGTAGATGCATAAGTACACATTGTCAAAGCAATGGACTTTCATTGTTAAGTTTTTTGTATCTGTCTTCATATTTGTCTATTTACTAAAATATACATTTATCATGAAAATCCTGAAGCAGTAAATTTTAATTACTATAATAAAAAAATTATAATGTTTTTTTTTTCTTTTTCAATTAGAATATGATATACCTGACAGACAGACAGACAGACAGACAGATATCTTTATTCACTCAAGCACATTTGTACAATATGAGGATTTTCTAATATAGCAAATATATAATACATTAGTTTTCCAGCAGTAAACATACATAATTTTGCACAATATATTTTTTTCTTATAATGTAAACAATATGGGGAATTATTACAGTGTGTTTTTTTTTTTTTTTTTTTTGGGGGGGGGGGAATTCGGATATTCTTTATTCTAGATAATTTAACAGTTCATCTTGATAAAAAAAACAAGAAATAATAATAAAAACAAAAACACACATATATAGAAGAATGTACTTAGAGATTCAATCAAGTTATAGATACACCTTTATGCTCAAATATAATTTTGAGATTTTCCCTTGATTAGTGTATGTCACGCTTCAATATAGATCTTGACCTTGGTGTATTTATTATTATTGTTATTATTACTGTTATTGGAAAACAGTAATAATAATAATAATAAAATAATAAACAAAATAAATAAAATAAATATATTTTTGAAAGAGTTTTGAAACGATAAGTTTGTAATTTAATTACGCTGTTTCAGGTAAAATTCAACAAGGTAGCATTATTACGGATAATTTATAATTGGCGACAGATATATTAAATAGATATGCGCGCGCTCAATATGGGAAAGTTCTCACACTGAGTATATATGTACTCAAGTATGGCAGAAGTATCTTTATGGATTATTTTGGCGAGAAAAAGGGTAAGTCTGTAAAACTGTTATCATAAATATGATTGATGCTTTATAATTAAAATTTTGCCAAGACTATACGGATAAATTTACAAAGATTCAACAGTTTGGGCACA